AAAAAAAACGAAAAAGACAGGCCAGACTTGGTGGCTCATGCCTGCAGTTCCAGCACTTTGGGAGGCTGGGGTGGGAAGATCACTTGAACTCAGAAGTTCCAGACCAGCCTGGGCAACATAGCGAGATCTCATCTCTACTAAAAATAATTTAGAAAATTAGCTGGGTGTGCAACTGTAGTCCCAGCTACTTGGGAGGCCACAAAGGAAAACAAAGTGCTGTTAGATTCTGAGCCACAGAAACAACAGATGCCATCACGAGTATTATTTGTAATAGGATCATCCACGTAGTGGCAGGATGAGGAACCACGGACATCATCCCATTGAAGTTTTCTCCCGTCTCTCAGATCTGCTGTGGGCTCTGCAGGAAGATGGAAAGCAGGTCTCAGGCTACAAGTCCAACACACATCCAGAAGGTTCAGGAAGGAAGAAGGAACCACAGGGTGTCTCCGTAAGTAGGACATGAGGGCAGAGGAGCATCTTATAGGATCTGGGCTTGTATTGAGTGTTTTGGGTTTTTTTTGTTGTTTTTGAGACAGAGTCTTGCTCTGTGGCCCAGGCTGTAGTGCAGTGAGCCGAGGCTGCTGCAACCTCTGCCTCCTGGTTCAAGCGATTCTCCTGGTTCAAGCAATTATCCTGCCTCAGCCTCCTGAGTAGCTGGGACTACAAGCACGTGCCACCACGCTTGGCTTATTTTTGTATTTTTAGTAGAGATGGGATTTTACCATACTGGCTAGGCTGGTCTCGAACTCCTGACCTCATGATCCTCCTGCCTTGGCCTCCCAAAGTGCTAGGATTACAGGCATGAGCTACCATGCCCAGCCTATACTGGGTGGTTTTAAAGAGAATTACTTGGGTGGTATTGTTGGGAAGCTGGGAGCACTTTGCTGACTAGATATTTTGCTGATTTTTATCTCAGAGGTGGGAGGATAGAAGTCAGGTTGGAATTGTCATTGGTGAGAAGTGGCAGTCACTTGTGTTCTTTGGGAGAGGGGGATGAGTATTCATTTTGTGAGTTTTCATTTTTGAGGGCCCTTGTCTCTATCTTGGTTCAGACATGATCACAGAGTGGCCTTGCCTCACCATTGTTTATATTCTGTGACGATTGTTTATGTTTAGTGAAGAACATCACGGTCCAGCCGCCAGGAGCTGATTTCCACTGTTTCTCCTGGCTGGTGGCGGGTATCTGTGTCTCCACGGAAAGTTTGCCCCAAGCCTTTCCCAGCCCTGGGTAAGGTTCTCCGGAAACCATCACTCACAGCTAGCACTTGAAGGCCTCCAGGGACAGCGGCCACCCCACCATCTGGGTAGGAGGCTGAAAACATTAGGGGAAAAATATCCCAAATCTGTGCCTTGGCAGGTGTCACTTAGAAAGGGTGTCGGGCTCCCCAACGCAAAAAGGAAAAATTGGAGGAAGGCCAGGTTAAGCAAAAATAGACATGGTTTCAGATCGCAGATCGGAGAGGCTTGGCTGTGCCTATGTGCATTGCAAGTCTGCAAGAACATGTTTGGAGTTTTATGAACAAAGATACAGTCAGAGACATGGGCAGGAGAGACGGAGAGAGAGACAGAGACATAGAGAGATCGAGGCAGAGAAAGCAACAGAGGCAAAGAGATTGGAACACTGAGAGAAAGAAATGGGGACAAAGAGACAGCGAAAGGAACAGAGATGGGAAGACAGGGACAGAGACAGACAGAATGAACAGAGATCGAGAGATAGATAGGGACTGAGAGAGACCGAGAGGGACAGAGATGGAGAGAAAGAGACAGGGCCAGGGCCACGTAGGGGCTGAGACAGGCCCAAGAAGAGACTAGGGACCTGGCCAGGGCTGCGTGCAGGCGGGGCGCGGTGCAGACAAAGGCGAGGCCGCGCGGCCGGGGTGGCCAGGCCGGGGACAAAGGCCTGCCCGGGGGGCGGGGGCAGCGATGGCGACGGCCGCGGCGGGCGCGGGCGAACTACAAGTCCCAGCAGCTCCCGCTGCGGCCCTCGGCCGGCCCCTCTCGCTCCCCGGGAGCGCCTGGCGGGGCCGCTGGGCCGAGGGGGCCGCCGGCGGGGCTGGCGGGCGGGGGGCTTCCTGCGGGCCCGGGGGGCGCCGGCGGCCGGCGCGGGCACGGCGGGCCGGGCAGGGGCGAGGGGCGCCGGGTGAGTGTCCCCCCGAGTGGGCTGGGGCCGGGGCGGGGGGCTAGGTGGGGGGCGGGCGGGCTGGGGGCTCCAGGCGCGGGGCACAGCCCGGGGCGACCTCTATTCGTCCCGCGCCCTGCGCGCCACCGGCCCCGGCCAGGGAGAGCGGGGGTCGCGGGCGCGATGGGGAGGGGACCCCGCGGCCCGCGCCGGCCTAGCGCGCCCATCCCGCCGCTGAGGCCCTGGGGGGAGGGCCCGGGAGATTGGGAGCGTTCAATCGGGCTGGGTGGGGGGCGCCCGCCAGCTCTGGGGTCTGGAGCTCAGGACGCCCCCTCTCCAGGAGGCGATCCAGGACCCCTCCCCTCCTGATTCGAGGAGGGGCTCGAGTATTGTTTCCACCTCCTGCCTGGGGTCGGGAGTTCAGAGGCCCTGTTCTCAAGAGGGGGACCTCGGGGGTCCCTCTTCCGCTAGAACCCTAGGAAGGGACCCAGCGATTGTTCCCCTCCCCCTCCAGTCTTGGGGTCTGGAATTCTAGAAGCTCCTTCCTCAGGAGGTGATCCAGGGGTCCACCTGCCCTCACCCCTGGGAACTCAGGAAAGACTTCAGTGACTTCTCCTCCCACCTTCCAGCTGAGAGATGGAAATTCAGGGGCCCCTTCCCCTGGAGGCAATGTAAGGGCTTCTCTGCACCCTCCCCAGGAATGCAGGAGGGGTCCCAGGTATTGTTTCCTCCACTCTCCAGCTATGGGGTCTGGATTGAGGACCCGGGTCCAGGATCCTGCTCTGTTTGCCTGCACACTCCTAGCTATGGGGTTGTGGCTGTGTATTCCCTTCCTCAGAGGGGAGCCACAGGTCCCCCACACCTTCTGCCAGGAACAGATGGATTCATTGTTTGCACCTCAACACCCAGCCATGGGGTGGGGAGCTCAAGGCATCCCCCCTCGGCAGGTCCTCCTGGGCTCCCTTGTTCCCCAGAAGTGGTTCCAGCTCTTGTTCCTCTACTTCCCAGCCACAAGCCTGGAATTCAGTTCAGAATCGTGCTGCAGGAAGGGCCACAGTGTGCTGACACTTCTCCCCATGTCCCAGCCATGGGAGGAAATGGTGCAGGCATTCCCCCAATAACTCCAGAGGGTCCCCAGGTATTATTTTTGCACATCCTCCAGCTAGAAGTAAAAATTCAGGACCTTCTAGTCAATTGAGAAAACAGATACAATAGCCTAGCATGGTGGCTCATGCCTGTAATTTCCATACTTTGGGAGGCTGAGGTGGGAGGATAGCTTGAGCCCAGGAGTTTGAGTTTAGCCTGGGCAACATAGCAAGACCCCATCTCTAAATAAATAAATAAATAAATAAATAAATAAATAAATAAATAAAACAGGTATACTAACAACTGTCCCCACCCTCCAGCCTATGGGGTTCATGAGTCTCCCTGCCCACCCCTCCTCACCAGGAGGGGTCCCAAATATCACTCTACCACTCTCACCATCTAGCTGTAGGAAAGGGCATTCCCGATCTAAGAGCGAACACAGAGGATTTGACACTTACTCCCACCTGGAGCTGTGAGGTCTGGAATTCAGGTTGTCTTCTCCCCAGAGGGAAAGCCAGGGTCTTCTTGTCTCTCCTCAGTGACCCAGGCAGGATACCAGATGCTATTTGTTGCATATTCATTTTTTTTTTTTTTTTTTTGAGATGGAGTTTCACTCTTGTTGCCCAGGCTGTAGTGCAATGGTGCGATCTCGGCTCACTGCAACCTCCACCTCCCCGGTTCAAGCAATTCTCCTGCCTCAGCCTCCCGAGTAGATGGGATTACAAGCATGCACCACCACGCCCAGCTAATTTTGTATTTTTAGTAGAGATGGGGTTTCTCCATGTTGGCCAGGATGGTCTCGAACTCCTGACCTCAGGTGATCCACCCACCTCGGCCTCCCAAAGTGCTGGGATTACAGGCGTGAGCCCCCGTGCCTGGTCATTTATTGCAAATTCTTATCCCCCAGACATGAGTTCTAGAGCTCAGAATGCTGCCTCTGGAGGGGGGCCTCCCTACCAGAAGCCCTGCAAATTAATCTGCCACCCCCAAGTATGGAAAAAGAATTCAGGCCATGTGCTCAGGAGCACAGGAACCCTGACACCCATACTATTCCCCATGTGGGGACCCTCAGCAAGGGGGTCAGAATCTGGGACTCTCTCCTCCACAGGACCCAAGCTTCCCACAAAAGGAGTCCAGGATGGAGGGAGGGGCAGAGCCATGGAGTTGGGGACTAGAAAGCTCTAGTGCCAAGTCCCATGCCTTCCATTCAGGTTCGGGGCTGAGAGGGGAGGGTCCTACCATGTCCCACCATGTCTTACTGGGGTCCCTCAACTCCCTGCCTGGACTGGAGTGAGTCAGAAATCTCCCTGCAGTCAGAGACAAGGAAAAGATCCACTTGTAGGCTCAGAAGTGGGTGGGGTTTGGCCAGGCACAGTGGCTTGCGCCTGTAATCCCAGCCCTTCGTGAGGCTGAGGCTAGAAGCTTACTAGAGGCCAGGAATTTGAGACCAGCCTGGGCAGCATAGTGACGCTCCATCGCTAAAGAGAAGAAAAGAAGAGAAAGAGAAAGAAGAGAAGAGAAGAGAGGAAAGGAGGAATGAAAGAAGGAAGGGAGGGAAGGAAGCTGAAGTTAGCTGAGTGTGGTGATGCACCTGTAGTTCTAGCTACTCTGGAGGCCGAGGGGAGGATCACTTGAGCCCTGGAGTTTGAGGCTGCAGTGAGCTATGATCACATCATTGCACTCTAGCAAGGGTGACAGAGTGACACCCCATCTAAAAAAAATAAAAATAAAGAAGTAGGGTCGGGCGCCGTGGCTCACACCTGTAATAGCAGCACTGTGGGAGGCTGGGGCAGGCGGAACACCTGAGGTCAGGAGTTGGAGACCAGCCTGGCCAACATGGTGACACCCTGTCTCTATTAAAAATACAAAAATTAGCCGGGTGTGGTGGTGGACACCTGTAATTTCAGCTATTCGGGAGGCTGAGGCAGAAGAACCAGGGAGGCTGAGGTTGCAGTGAGCCGAGATCCGCGGATTGCACTCCAGCCTTGGCGACAGAACAGAGTCTCTCTCAAAAAAAAAGAAGAAGAAGAAAGAAAGAAAAATAATGTGTTCTGGGGGCACAACTGGGTCCCCTCTCCCATCGCTAACGATGCTTCCAAAAGACATCCCTGCTTCCCCAGAACCCACCTCCACCCACCCTCTGTCCTTGCCCTTGCAGGTCCTACCCTAGAAGCAGCTGGCACATCCACGCCTGAAATGCGGCGCTCAGTCCTGGTCAGGAACCCAGGCCACAAAGGCCTGAGACCGGTTTATGAAGAGCTCGACTCTGACTCTGAGGACCTGGACCCCAATCCCGAGGATCTGGACCCAGTTTCTGAAGACCCAGAGCCTGATCCAGAAGACCTCAACACTGTCTCGGAAGACGTGGACCCCAACTATGAAGATCTGGAGCCCATCTCCGAGGATCTGGACCCCGACGCCGAAGCTCTGGGCTCGGAACCCCAAGATCCCGACCCCATGTCTTCGAGTTTCGACCTCGATCCAGATGTGATTGGCCCGGTACCCCTGGTTCTCGATCCTAACAGCGACACCCTCAGCCCCGGCGATCCAAACGTGGACCCCATCTCCTCTGACCTCACTGCCACCCCCCAGGTCTTGGCCACCAGCCCCGCGGTGCTCCCCGCCCCCGCCAGCCCTCCCCGGCCCTTCTCCTGCCCGGATTGCGGGCGAGCCTTCCGCCGCAGCTCGGGGCTGAGCCAGCATCGCCGCACCCACAGCGGCGAGAAGCCGTACCGCTGCCCCGACTGCGGGAAGTCCTTCAGCCACGGTGCCACCCTGGCGCAGCATCGTGGCATTCACACCGGGGCGCGGCCGTACCAGTGCGCGGCCTGCGGGAAGGCCTTCGGCTGGCGCTCCACGCTGCTGAAACATCGCAGCAGCCACAGCGGGGAGAAGCCGCACCACTGCCCCGTGTGCGGCAAGGCCTTCGGGCATGGCTCGCTCCTGGCGCAGCACCTGCGCACGCACGGCGGCCCGCGGCCCCACAAGTGCCCGGTGTGCGCCAAGGGCTTTGGCCAGGGCTCGGCGCTGCTGAAACACCTGCGCACACACACAGGCGAGCGGCCTTACCCGTGCCCGCAGTGCGGCAAGGCCTTCGGGCAGAGCTCGGCTCTGCTGCAGCACCAGCGCACGCACACCGCCGAGCGCCCCTACCGCTGTCCGCACTGCGGCAAGGCCTTCGGGCAGAGCTCCAACTTGCAACACCACCTGCGCATCCACACGGGTGAGCGGCCCTACGCCTGCCCGCACTGCTCTAAGGCCTTCGGGCAGAGCTCAGCGCTGCTCCAGCACCTGCACGTGCATTCGGGCGAGCGTCCCTATCGCTGTCAGCTCTGCGGGAAGGCCTTCGGCCAGGCCTCCAGCCTCACCAAGCACAAACGGGTGCATGAGGGCGCGGCCGCTGCTGCCGCTGCGGCGGCTGCTGCAGCGGCAGCAGCTGCCGCAGGCCTGGGCCTCGCGCCTGGCCTCAGCCCTGTATCCATGATGAGGCCGGGGCAGGTCTCCCTCCGGGATCCTGATGCTGTTTCTGTGCTTGGCTCTGGCTTGGGCCTCAGCCCTGGCACCAGCTCTGGCCGCAGCCCTGACCCCGGCTCTGGGCCGGGCACTCCACCCGATCCCAGCTCCAAACCCCTCCCAGGCTCCAGATCCACCCCCAGCCCTACTCCTGTGGAATCGTCTGATCCCAAGCCTGGGCAGGATGCTGGTCCTGACCTTGTGCCCAGCCCAGACCCTGATCCTGTGCCCAGCCCTGACCCCGACACTGTGTCCCACAGTGACCCCTGCTCTCCCTCTGGTGGCACTGTCAGCCCAGCACTCCCTACCGGCGAGAGTCCAGAGGGGATACAGGAGCAAGGGGCACTGCTGGGGCCTGATGGCTGAAGGGGACGCCAGCATCCTTGGGGGCCTGGGGAAATTGTGTGTTGTGCAGTTAGTAAAATCCTCCCACTGCCTCCGGGCTCTGTGTCGTGGTTTACCGTTTGTGCTTTCTTTCTGAGCACAGCCCCTTGCTCCGGAGATGGGATGGTGTGGCCAGGGCCAGCCACAATCTGGAGCTCCAGTGTCCTGGCTTCCTTCCAGCTAGACTTCCCAGCTTAACCCACAATATCTCACCCTGGTCCACACCACTAGTCACCACTCTCTGTTCTGCTCACTTACCCCTTGCTGCCCTTTTCCTCCTCCTCCCCCTCCTCCTCCTCCTCCTCCTCCTCCTCCTCCTCCTTCCTCTTTCTTTTTTAGTCTCACTTTGTCGCCCGGGCTGGAGTGCAGTGGCATGATCTCGGCTCACTGCAACCTCTGCCTCCTGGGTTCAAGTGATTCTCCTTCCTCAGACTCTTGAATAGCTGGGATTACAGACAGGCATCACCACACCCAGCTAATTTTTGTAGTTTTAGTAGAGATGGGTTTCACCATGTTAGTCAGGTTGGTCTCAAACTCCTGATCTCATGATCTGCCTTCCTCAACCTCCCAAAGTGCTGGGATTACAGGAGTGAGCCATCACACCTGAAACCCCTTGTTTTTCAAAGCCCATACAGTAGGCACACAAGTGGACAAAAAGAGGTTGCTCATTTATGCAATCAACAAACATCTCTGGATTGCTGGGGACTCAGCAGGAAACAAGATAAGTGTGGTGTCGACCTGCACAGAGCTCATAGATATTAAATTCAGAATACTTAAAAAACAACTACAAGGTATGGTACCTTCTAGGAGAAGCATAAGAAGACCTGATATAAATGGTGGGCAGCTTTCTCAATGAAGGATTTTATAATCCCAATAGTCACTAATTTATTTTTCTCTCAATGGCCCCAGGACATAGATGACTGATTGAATATGCCCATTTTGCAAATGAGAAAAATGGAGGCATGTGTACTTTTTTTCTTGCTCTGCTGCCCAGGCTGGAGTGAAGTGGTGTGATCATAGCTCACTGTAGCCTGGACCTCCCAGGCTCAAGCGATCCTCCCACCTCAGCCTCCTGAGTAGCTGGGATTTTAGGCCGCCACTCACTCTGCTCAGCTTGGAATTGAAAAGACTGTAGAAGATGTACCAGTGGCAGTTGTCAGTGCCTAGATTTAAACCGCAGTTGCCCTTCAGAGTCTAAATTCTTAACCATTTCTTTCCAGGGCAAAAATAGGCAAAAACCCTGGGGTTATAGAAGGATGAGCTGGGGTGGAAGTAGGGGCCTGATCAGAGGGCCCTAATAAACCAGAGCGGGGACTTTGCTTGTCAGTCCAGAGCAACGGGAAGCCAAGGGCAGGTTCTCGCAGGACTGATAGGAATTATTCTTTGAAGACGCTTGTGGCTGCTGGGTAGAAAGTGGAGTGGAGGGAGGCAATCCGGGAGGAGGTTGCTGCAAAGATCCGGGCCAGGAATGTTGGAGAACTCTGGGCTGGGGGCCATAGGGGTGGGGATAAGTGGTTCTATTTGGCATATAATTAGGAAATCGTGTTTGCTGAAGGTCCGCATGAGAGGGGTAAAAGGAGTTTCTGCAGGAAAGAGGAAGACAGCGTTGAAAGAGTACGCAGGGTCATCACCAGGCACCAACGAGGATAAAGGGTCAAGTTCTGGACATGGAAGTCACGAGCCTGGCACCGGATTCAGGGCACCGCAGGGAGCCAGGGCGGAGATCGTCGTTGCCAAGCTCAGGGCCAGCCCATCCCCCGCAACGCAGAGCCCGTCGGCGATAGGACCTCGCGACCGCCTTCGACCCAGGGTGGAGAGCGCCGGCTGAGGCACGCAAGCGCGCTGTTCCGGCACAGGTTGTCGTGGCGCAGGGGGCGGGACCAGATACGGTCACGTGAAGGGCTCTCGGCTACCGGGTCACGTGACCGCGGCGCGGATCAGCTGATGCGGGAGGATTTGAAGCCGCGCCGCGAGGGAGGGAGGTCGCAGTGACAGCGACGGGCGCTCGGACCCAGGCTGCTGTCCCGCCGCACCCGCCCGCGTCCCGCGCTCCCGCCCCAGCATGACAGCCCCGGCGGGTCCGCGCGGCTCAGGTGAGGGCGTGGGCGGCACCGTGGGGCCCCGAACCCAGGCGGGCTGGCTGCTTCTCCGACCTGGGGCGGCGGAGCTCCCAGTCTCCTTTTTTCTAAACTCCAGCGCTGACTTCTCAGCCTCCCCACGGTGGAGAAATGGCCAGACGGCTCCTAGAACTTGGGCGGCGGGTGGGCACCAGACTCTCCAGTTCTTCCTCCTGAGCCCAGGCTATGCCGGGTTCCCAAACTCAGGCAGCGAGCGCGCCGGGCCGCCAGCTTCTCCCCTTCGGGACGGCGAGGTTCCCGGGATTTCCACGGGGAGCCTAGGTCCTGATGGCACAACTTTGGCTGGAACTCAGGCAGCGGGCACCAGCAACTCCAACCCGCACGTGAGACTCCCCGGCTTCCCCTCTTGATTCCTGGAGTCAAATGCTAAGCTTCCCTAAATTCCAGCGTGGGCCGGGCGCGGTGGCTCACGCCTGTAACCCCAGCGCTTTGGGAGGCCGAGGCGGGCGGATCACATGCTTAGGAGTTCGAGACCAGCCTGGCCAACATGGTGAAATCCTGTCTCTACTAAAAATACAAAAATCAGCCGGGTGTGGTGGCGAGTGTTTGTAATCCCAGCTACTTGGGAGGCTGAAACAGGAGAATTGCTTGAACCCGGGACGCGGAGGTTGCAGTGAGCCAGGATCGCGCCACTGCACTCCAGCCTGGGCAGCAGTGAGACCCTGTCTCAAAAACAACAACAACAACAACAAATCAAGCTCGAAGAGCTGGAGGGATTGCCCCAAGTCGATTAACTGAATTTTAGCTCTACAAACCCGTGGAAATGCAGCCTTCTTAAACTCGGGCTTCAAGCCAGTTCTGAAGCGCATCCCCCCCCCCCCCCCCCCCCCCCCCCCCCCCCCCCCCCCCCCCCCCCTCCCCCAAGGAGGCAGCAGGAAGACCCCTTGTGTT